TGCAGATAGAGCGTGTTTTGAGCGCAGAACACGTTTTCGTACTTTTCTTGCGTTTTGGTGTTGATTTGAGACGAAACTAATATTATACAACGCTTGACATGGCCGCAAACTTTAGTGTGTTGATATGTTTGATCCTTTAACACAGGTAGATCCAATTGCAGATATGACGGAAACGACTCATCATATTTATCAGCCGAAACCGCCGCCTGCGATTATCAGGACGATGGAGGTGGAAACGAGGTTTACGTCGAGGCATGAGGATCAATATGCGCATGAAGTGCCTACGAGGGGAAGACCTCATCTTGCGCATTATAGATGGGATCATGGTGATCGGACTAATAATGTATAGGTTTTGTTTTTCTTTCCATAGAATTAGCGTTTGATTTTTAATGGATTTGATGAATTATGTTTGGTTGTTCTGGTGATGATCTCCCGTCCCGCATGATACCAAACCATGCAACCCGACCGGCAACCACTCCTTCTCCTTTCTCTGTGCCACATTACACGAGAAATATTTCCTTCTTTCACTTCTTCGAAAATGCCGGTATGTGGGTGTGTGGTCATCATTCCTCACTGCCGTGCCCCCTTCTCCCCAAAACATCACCCCCACAACCCCACAAATTGGACTCCATACAAAGTATACAATACCAGAACCTGACAAGTACATCCCAACACCCAGACAAAGGGAAGAGCACACATCGGGTATGGTGTAGCGGTAACATCGTTGACTCTCACTTTTTCAAAAGTGATTTGGTCCCTCAACAGCCCCGGGTTTGACTCCCGGTATCCGAGTATCAACAATTCTTTTTTTCTTTTATTCTCAACGGTTTCTAATCAGAAATCGTGACAACCAAAAAATTGAAGAGGCACAGAAATGGGAAATGATGATCTTTTTCTCATTCTGGGTTCTTTTTCTCGCTTCCGCCGCTGTGGCACATTTTATGCAAATGCGGACGGGATTCGCTTATCTCTATAGATGCACGCCCCCTCCTTCGTCTCACATGAGCGAATGGGGGTAGGAATGACGGAAAGGAAAAGGTTGCTGCTGTTCCACACCGGTGCGTTGAAAAATAATTTTCTCACGTTGCGGCGATGAAGGCTTTGTGCCCAGATCACTGCATTTATTGGCGTTGAGAGAAGTCCGAGCTTAGTCCGGTTGACTTTTCAGGGGATGATGTAGATTGGTGTGTGTTGCTTTGGTTGCGTCGTGACTTTCATTGATCGCTTTTTGGTAATAAATTGTATTGAAGGCTTTTTTTTAAATCCGAGATTATGATGTCCTGTGCATCATCGTTTCAATGCCTAATTGTGTATTTCTAATCTCGGCCGTCCATGAATTCTCCGTGATCAGCGGCCAGAAATAAAACCACACCTTGCCAAAAGCCGGTAGCCGAGGCGGACATGAAAGCCACGCTTGGCTACGCTGGAAAGACTTGGGGTTCTGCGTGCTTGGAGATGCATGAGATGTGCTGCGGGGTGTTGCTCAGCGATGATGTTGGTGTGTGGCACGGAATTGTGTGGATTGGGGCACGACATGATATGCTAGTGGACTGGTTTGCGGCTCGGCAATCTTGGTTTTGCAGATGATGTTTGAAAAATACTGGAGATCAAGAGATATGTATGATGGGTCTAGATAATGGGTTATGTTGGAATTGGTGATATAAACTGGCAAAATTCCAAATGACATGCGTCGCTACAAGCAGTTAAATACATGCCGAGGCAACCCAGGTGCCAATACTAGCAGGATCCCTTTTACCACTCCTAGTGTGAAATCTCAACTTTGCAAACTTGAATCCAAGGCTTTTCCTACCTGAAACCGACACGGCCCATATCCCAAGATCCCACTGCATAATAGCTTGTGTTTTTCGAGCAGACCACCCCGAGAGCGCTCTTGTCCAGCATGCCCAAGTAGTTTGGCAGTTTAGTTTGCAGTGTAACTTGCGGCGGAGCTTTGGCTTCTTTCTTAGAAGCCTTATCCTGCTCAACGCCATCGTTCTTTTCAATGTTGTCCCCCTTCTCATCCCCATCGCCACGATTGTTGTTGTCGGGGAGGTGCTTGCAACCTTTGGGTGGCCAGTCACGCGATACGTCAACAGGCATGTACTCGGAAAAGGGGGACGAAGGGCTCTGAGTTCCTGAATACATGGGATTGTATGGTTGGAACTTGAAGGACAGGTCAATGGGTTGATCACCAAAACCCACATGGGTTGGTGTGTCGTCACTCAGCGGGCGAAGGTCCTTAACTCCAATGATATCCTCAACGACCTTGAGTGCGGAGAGCGCGGCGCCGGCGATCCATGTATGATGGAACGACAAGTGTTCGCCAGCAAAGTAGATGCGACCCTCGTGTTCACGTGCCACCTCAAAATGCTCTTTGAACTGACCGGGGAGGAACATGGCGTCGCCCGTAGCAGTTGATGATGACCAGACGTGGTCGGCGCTTTCAATCAAAAGGTTATAAACGTTGATGTTGTTCCCCTGCCGGTCTTTTTTACCATTGTACACTTGTGCAAGACAATTGAGGGCAACATTGCGACGCTCCAGCGGGGTGAGGGGAAGCCAGTTGGTTGCGTCAGTCATCCTGTCACGATGTATTGTTAACAATCAAATATTGGGAGAGAGATAGAAAAAAGGAATTCTTACCAGGAATAGACTAACAGTACCCCAGATTGATCATGTTCCTGGCCATGCGCTTCATCCTCGACAGGGATGCCATTAGAAGGGTAAACAATCCAACGAATGGGCAGATCCGTGGTGCTCTGCCCGCCGAATGACGGCGGGTCCACATGTTCCCAGAAGCGTGTCTTGAACCGAAGACCCATCTTGTACAGCGGTTCAAAATGAAGGGCCCGGATGGCCACCTCCTTCTTCACTGACCATCTCGGGCGGTCCACGATCATGCGCAATGCCGCGGGTGGGATGGCAAGAACGACGCGGTCAAACACTGCCTCGAGTGTGCCGTTATAGCCCGTTGTAATAATCTTTACCGGGCTGTTCTCTCCACAGTCCTTGCACAAAGGCTTAACCCCAGTGACCCGTGCCCCGAAGGTGACGTTTTCGAGACCAACCCTCTGGGCCATGAGCTCGGGAAGGCGACTCATGCCGCCGTCAATGGTCTGCCACTCCTTGACGCCAAAGTCCAACGACTGCATAACCAGTTCGGGCACGCTCAAGTTGAACTGATTCGTCTGCGACGTCATGGTCTCGACAAAGTCAACAAGTGAGTTGGTCCATCGACATTTCTTGATGCAGTAGTACCGGAAGGTGAAGTTGTCCCACTTGTCCACGATTTTTTTCTTGAACGCAGGCTCAAAGTCCGCGGGCGGGGCAATCTTCTTCATCAGCCGGCCTAGAGCCTCTTTAAGCAGTGCTCCAGCGGTCATGTCTTTGTGTTTCTCATCGATATCCGGCCAGCCGATCATTGCGGGTGTTGTGTTGGACGCTGTGGTTTCGGGTCGGAGAGAACCATTGACGAACACCAAATTTTTATCGGTGGACAAGACGTATTTGATGAGATTGATGCGTTTCTCGGGCAGCAAGGGCTTGTTGATGTACTTGACGAGGTCAAAGAAAATGTCTTGGAAATCGGTCTTTGGGATGCGCATCGCCCCGGCCTCGTAGTACTGGTCGCGATCCGGCGTAAAGTAGTGTGTGTGGACTCGTCCTCCGATGCGGTCAGTACCTTCGAAAATGTGGACGTGGTGGCCTTTTTGCTGGAGGTAGAGAGCTGTGTAAAGACCAGCAATTCCGCCACCGACAATGCCCACTTTGAGCGGCCTGTTGCAAGTGTTACTGTGCCCTGGATGGGAGTCGAGGACGATTGCGTCGCCCATATTTGCGGTTTGGTGGCGGTGAACTAGAAGATGAAGAAGACCGAATAGCACCGGATGGTATAAGAGTAAGTCAATCGCCCTGGACAAAAAGAAGGCACAACAAAACTTCTGCTGATAGATAGAAGATTCGATTATTTATATACCCTTAGATACCTACCTATTTACACCAGGAATCATCTACTATCTTATGTGGAAGAAAAAGGAGTTCTGCTCGCGGATTACGCGCCAGCATTGCATGAGTGGTTTTGCAAGCCTCAACTCACCCACAACAAAACAACAAATTGGTCATATTTTCAGATTCATTCACTGACCTGCAATCATGATGTTCTGGAAGTCGCCAATGAAGATGAGCAATGTCCGCGCCAAGACACGCACCCCAGAACTTCAGGACCGAAGGAAGTTGGTGTTGAAAGTTGGGCAGCCATCAGCATGCCATCGGACCAGACGTTCGAGTTGAATCGGTGCAATGCCGCTGCAGCCTGACTTTAGCTCGCTTTAATTTACACACCTCAAAATCCTTATTAGTAGCATAGTGTACTGTGTCATATGACTCATTTTTAGTCAAGATAAGGACTTGGAGGCCGTTGAGATTGTGTTTGGTCCTATCAAAATCTCATGTCAGCAGCCATTAACGACTCTCATCGTGCTCATTGCAACCCTGACATCCAAAGCCAAGTGTAGAAAGGGGCACGCTAAGATCTATTTGGCTCTCGTATGTAGGGCAGCTTTGGGTGCTAGTTGGTCGGGTTGATGAGTGTGCCTTGGCTGCAGAAGCTGAATAAAAGAGGAATATCGACCAGTCAGGAATTTTACACACCCGAGCTTTCGTCGTTGGTAGATGCACGGAATGCACAAATGTGTTCAAAGCTGCTGGAAGCTAACAAGGCGGCCTCGAGGGTTGACCGAGCGGAGAGAGTCAAAGGGATTCAAGTTTCCAAATTCAATAAGTGATATAAAGTCTTATGTTTGCAGGGGAAAGATATTCAGACTGCCCCAAATGTGCCGTAACAGTACTCTTACCAACCTCTCCAAAATGAATCGCACCGACATAAATTGTCCTCCTGGCCTTTATCGCCAAGATCTTCCTCAATGGCCAGATATCCGAACGCCCAACTCTGCAGCCCACAGCACCCAGCCGAAAAAGAAGGCAAATCGGGAAGATTTGGACATCTTCTCCATTCCTGAAGGCACGTATCCCATCCCCGCCATCCCAAACCAATTATCCTTGGTATCAGGGTCACATTTTCCCCATCTTTCTCACTGCCTCATCTGACCCGTCCCAGATCGCAAGTTGGGCGTCACGTCGACGGCCTTGTTGATTGTGAATCGCATGATCGGGACAGGGATATTCTCCACTCCTTCAACCATTATGCAATCCACGAATAGCGTTGGAGCTGCACTTTTGTTTTGGGTTCTCGGAGGATTTATGACTCTGTGGTGAGTGTGCTTGTCGAAAATCTCTCCGGGATAGTATCCGGCTAACACGGGACCATGAACCCAGCGGGTAAGAAACGGTCCCAAGGTACTTAGCTGGGTTAACATCTCCTAATGTCGTGAGGAACAGAATGTTTGCGTATTTGGAGCTAGGATGTGCCATGCCTCGTTCAGGAGGAGAAAAAGTTTATGTTTGTGCTCAACCTTACTTCTTTTTATAGTGTGGAAGGATGGATGCTCATATGGACTGATGTCCGTAGCTGGAGAAGATTTACCAAAGGCCAAAATATCTCGCAACGGCCGTGTTTGCAGGTATGGTATGGATTACTCGAGCTGATCTCAAGTTTCTAACACTTCGATAGTCGAGATCATTGCTTTTTACCACTCAGCTGCAAACAGTGTCAACTTTTCCTCCTATATCCTTCGCACAATCCACGGTCTAGACACTACTCTCAACACCAACTGTGGGCGCTCCCCTGACGGCACAGTCTCTATCTCCCCACTCTCTGAAGAATGGACCAACAA